CCATAGCCTCCGGGACCGGCCACAGCCTCCGGTACCAGCCCGTATCTCCCATACCGGCCATAGCCTCCGGGACCGGCCATAGCCTCCGGTACCAGCCCGTAGCTCCCATACCGGCCATAGCCTCCGGGACCGGCCATAGCCACCGGTACCGGCCATAGCCTCCGGGACCGGCCATAGCCTCCAGTACTAGCCTATAGCTCCCATACTGCCCATAGCCTCCGGTACAGGCCCATAGCCACCGGTACCGGCCACAGCCTCCGGTACAGGCCCACAGCCTCCGGTACCGGCCACAGCCTCCGGTACCGGCCATAGCCTCCGGTACCGGCCCATAGCCCCCGTTACCAGCCCATAGCCCCTGTTACCGGCCCATAGCCCCCGTTACCGGCCCGTTCTCCCCCTCTCCAGGCCTCGGATGTCTGCGTGCGGCCGGTACCGTTCAACGCCGCCTTCGTAGCCCGGTTGGTGCCGCGGCTGCGCTGGGGGGCGCTGCTGGAGGCGGCCGAGAGCGTGAGTGGAGGGGAGAGGGGGGGGGCCTCATGTTTGGGGGGGGGGGTCCTGTGATGGGGGGGAGCGAGTTGGGGGGGGTCCTATTATGGGGGGAGCGAGTTCGGGGGGGTTCTGTGATGGGGGGGCGAGTTGGGGGGGGTCCTATTATGGGGGGGAGCGAGTTGGGGGGGGTCCTATGTTGGGGGGGAGCAAGTTGGGGGGGTTCTGTGATGGGGGGAGCGAATTGGTGGGGGTCCTATGATGGGGAGGAGCGAGTTGGGGGGTGTCCTGTGATGGGGGGGAGCGAGTTGGGGGGGGTCCTATGATGGGGGGAGCGAGTTCGGGGGGGGTCCTATGATGGGGGGGCGAGTTGAGGGCTGTCCTATGATGGGGAGGAGCAGTTGGGGGGGGTCTATGATGGGGGGGCGAGTTGGGGGGGGTCCTATGATAGGGGGGGTGAGTTGGGGGGGTCCTATGATAGGGGGGGCGAGTTGGGGGGGGTCCTATGATGGGGGGAGCAAGTTGGGGGGTGTCCTATGATGGGGGGGTGAGTTGGGGGCTGTCCTATGATGGGGAGGAGCGAGTTGGGAGGGGTCCTATGATGGGGGGAGCAAGTTGGGGGGGGTCCTATGATAGGGGGGGTGAGTTGGGGGGGGTCCTATGATGGGGGGAGCAAGTTGGGGGGTGTCCTATGATGGGGGGGTGAGTTCAGAGGGGTTCTATGATGGGGGAGAGCGAGTTGGGGGCGTCCTATGATGGGGGGCGAGTTGAGGGGGTGTCCTATGATGGGGGGGGGGCATGGTTTTGGGGCTGTCTCAATTGGAGGGGAAGGCTTCAATTTTGGGGGGATCCCAGTTTGGAGGGGATCTGGAGGGGTGTTGTCAGGTTTGGGGGGGGCATTCTAAGGTTTGGGATGGGGGGTGCACGGGGGTCCTATTGGGGGTCTCCCAGCTCCCCCCATTCTCCCCCGCCCCCCCACCTGCAGTTGGGGCACCCCTCGGAGCTGCCCCCCGAGCCTGCCCCTGACTATGAGGGAGATGAAGCGTTCCTGCGGCGGGTGCACCACGTGCTGCTGGAGGTGAGGGGGGGGCCAAAACCCCCTTGGGGGGTTGGGGGGGGGAGGAGATGTGGTCCTGACCCCCCCCCCATTGACCCCCTTATGTGCGTGTGTGTCCCCCCCCAGGTGGAGGTGCTGGAGGGGTTCCTGCAGTGCCCGGACTCGGGGCGCCAGTTCCCCATCTCCCGTGGGATCCCCAACATGCTGCTGAGAGAGGAGGAGGCCTGAGGGGGGGGGCACGGGCTGGAGTCACCCCCCGTGCACCCCCGGGTTATTGGGGGGGGGCCAAAGTGGAGCAGAGACGTTCTGTCCCCCATGGGGGGGGGGTGAATCCCAAATAAAGGGGGGGGGGCTTTTGTCATTTGGTTTTGAGCCTTTGGGTTTTTTTTCCTGCCCCAGAGGGCTTCTTTTACTTTCAAATCGCCCCTTTTTGCCCTAAATCTCCCCTTTTTGCTCCCAGATCGCTTCTTTCTGCCCCAAATCACCCCTTTTTGCTCCCAAATCACCCCTTTTTGCTCCCAAACCGCCCATTTCTGCCCCAAATCACCCCTTTTTGTTCCCCAATTGCCCCTTTTTGCTCCCAAATCTCCCCCTTTTGCCCCAAATCTCCCCTTTTTACTCTCAAATTGCCTCTTTTTGCCCCAAATCTCCTATTTTTGCTCCCAAATTGCCTCTTTTTGCCCCAAATCTCCCATTTTTGCTCCCAAATTGCCTCTTTTTGCCCCAAATCTCCTATTTTTGCTCCCAAATTGCCTCTTTTTGCCCCAAATATCCCATTTTTGCTCCCAAGTCTCCCTTTTTTGCTCCCAAATTGCCTCTTTTTGCCCCAAATCTCCCATTTTTGCTCCCAAGTCTCCCTTTTTTCCTCCCAAATTGCCTTTTTTTGCCCCAAATCTCCCATTTTTGCTCCCAAGTCTCCCTTTTTTCCTCCCAAATTGCCTTTTTGCCCCAAATCTCCCATTTTTGCTCCCAAGTCTCCCTTTTTTCCTCCCAAATTGCCTCTTTTTGCCCCAAATCTCCCTTTTTTCCCCCAAACTCCCTTTCCCCCCCCCAAACCTCCCCTTTTTTTCCTCCAAACCCCTTCCATTCCTCAACCTTCCAGCTTCTCCCCCCCCCCTTTCCCCGAAGTTCTTTGTTCTGTCTGTGTTTTATTTGTGGTTTATTAATAAAAAGCCGCTTTTTCGTGCCAATATTCGGCCTTTTTTTAGTCCTTTCCATGAGAATCCCATTGGATTTTGGGGGGGGGGGGGGTGTGAACCCCGAGGTCCTCCCGCGTTCTCTATGACCCAAGCAACCGCCTAGAGCGTCTCACCCTGTAGCGGCCGCTCTGTCTCGGCTCTATGGCGCAGCCGGAGGTGACGTCAGGACGTCGACGCACGCACAGCGGCGGCGGCAGCGGCCTGAGGCGGGAGCAGCGGTCGGAGGCTCCGGTGAGGGCCGCGGGGGGGAAGCCCCGGTCCCGGTTCCCGTTCCCGTTCCCCCCCCAGCCTCCCCTTGAGCCGTCTCCGCTTCCCCCCGCAGGCGCCATGTCCTCCACGTCGCAGAAGCACCGGGACTTCGTAGCGGAGCCGATGGGGGAGAAGCCGGTGGGGATGCTGGCGGGCATCGGGGACGTGCTGGGCAAGAAGCTGGAGGAGAAGGGCTTCGATAAGGTACGGGGGGGGGGGGCTCCGGTCGGGCTGTGACGGGGGGCTTGGGAGGGGTGCGTGGGGGAGAGGGAGGGGACACAGAGGGACCCTATTGGGGATGGGGATAGGGACCCACTTAGGGACGTGATGGGTGTAGGGGTCCTTTGGGGACATGGGGCAGGGGGGACACACAGGGGATGGGGGGCGGTTTAGATAGGGACCCACTTAGGGACGTGGTGGGTGTAGGGGGCCTTTGGGGACATGGGGCAGGGGGGACACACAGGGGATGGGGGGGGAGTAGATAGGGACTCTCTTAGGGACATGGTGGGGACAGGATCCTCTTAGGGGCATAGGGCAGGGGGGACACACAGGGGATGGGGGGGGTAGATAGGGACCCCCTTAGGGACATGGTGGGTGTAGGGGGCCTTTGGGGACATGGGGCAGGGGGGACACACAGGGGATGGGGGGGGGGGTAGATAGGGACCCCCTTAGGGACATAGGGCAGGGGGGACACACAGGGGATGGGGGGGGGGGGCCTCGTGGTGGGTGTAGGGGCATAGGGGGGACACACAGGGACCCCCTTGGGACACACACAAAAAGACCCACTTAGGGATGGTGGGGACAGGAGCCTCTTAGGGACATGGACACCCCTTGGGGAGGGACATGGTGGGTGTAGGGGGCCTTTGGGAACATGGGGCAGGGGGGACACACAGGGGATGGGGGGCGGGGTAGATAGGGACCCACTTAGGGATGTGGTGGGTGTAGGGGGCCTTTGGGGACATGGGGCAGGGGGGACACACAGGGGATGGGGGGACCTCCTTAGGGGCATGGTGGGGACAGGAAGCTCTTAGGGACATGAGGGGGGACACACAGAGGGACACAGAGACGTGGTGGGTGTACTCCCTTGGGGATGTAACACAGGGGGGAGGGAGTAGGGAACCCTTTAGGGACATGGTGGGTGTAGGGGTCCTTTGGGGACATAGGGCAGGGGGGACACACAGGGGATGGGGGGGGGGGCTAGATAGGGACCCACTTAGGGACATGGTGGGTGTAGGGGGACATGGGGCAGGGGGGACACACAGGGGATGGGGGGGGGGCTAGATAGGGGGAATAGGGACCTCCTTAGGGGCATGGTGGGGACAGGAAGCTCTTAGGGACATGAGGAAGGAGGGACACAGAGAGACTCCCTTGGGGATGTAACGGGGGGATAGGGAACCCTTTAGGGACATGGTGGGTGTAGGGGTCCTTTGGGGACATGGGGGGGGGGGGACGGACACACAGGGGATGGGGAGGGGTAGATAGGGACCCCCTTAGGGACATGGTGGGGACAGGATCCTTGGGGACATAGGGCAGGGGGGACACACAGGGACCTCTTTGGGGATGGGGGGGGTGGGGATACAGACCCCCTTAGGGACATCGTGGGTATAGGGGCCCTTTGGGGACAGGGGGACACACAGGGTCCTCCTTGGGGACATGGTGGGGACAGGAGGCTCTTAGGGACATAGGGCAGGGGGGACACAGAGGGACCCCCTTGGGGATGTGTATGGGGGGATAGGGACCCTCTTAATGACATGGTGGGGAAAGGAGCCCTTTGGGGACATGGGGCAGGGGGGACACACAGGGACCCCCTTGGGGACATGGGGAGCAAGGGACACAAAAAGACCCACTTAGGGACATGGTGGGGACAGGAGCTTCTTAGGGACATGAGGAAGGGGGTACACAGAAAGACCCCCTTGGGGATGGGGGGATAGGGACCCCCTTGGGGATGTGTATGGGGGGATAGGGACCCCCTTGGGGCAGGGGACTCCCTTGGGGACAAGGTGGGGAACACACAGAGACCCACTTAGGGACATGGTAGGGACAGGAGCCTCTTGGGGATATGGGGGGGGGGGGGGGGGGGGATGGAAAGGGACCTCCTTAGGGACATGGTGGGAGATAGGAGCCCCTTGGGGACATGGTGGGGGGCACGCACAGGGACCTTCTTGGGGACATGACAGAGCCAGGAGCCCATTGGGGATAATGGGGAGGGGGGGGAAACGAGACAGAGTGACCCCTTTGAGGACATTTTGGGTGGGGAATGACACAGGGAAGCCCTTGGGGATGTGGTGGCAGACAGGGACCTTCTTAGGGACACAGTGGGGACAAGAGGCTTCCTTGGGGACATGGGAACGCTCAGGGATGCTCTTGGAGACATTGGTGGGGGGGGGTTAAACACAACCATGTCCTTAGGGATGTGGGCTTGTCCCAGGGTCATGGATTGGGATAAGGACTCCCTTGGGGATACCGGGGGTGTCCCTGTGCTCTTCCCCCCCCCCCCAGGCGTACGTGGTGCTGGGACAGTTCCTGGTGCTACGCAAGGACGAGGAGCTCTTCCGGGAATGGCTGAAGGAAACGTGCGGAGCCAACGCCAAACAGTCCCGGGACTGCTCCGGCTGCCTCCGGGAGTGGTGCGATGCCTTCCTCTGAGCCCCCCCCAACCTCAACCGGGGCACCCCAACACCCCCTCCATGGGGGCTCCCCCCCCACCACCACCAGAACTGTGGTGCTGCCCCATCCCCCTTTGCCAACTGGGGGTTGGGGTTTCCCCTTCCAAAAACATCTTCATGGGGGGGGGAACCTGGGATGCCCTCACCCCCCCCCCTCAATCACACCAAATCCCCCATGGGGGGGTGTGTGGGGTTGTGCTGATATTGCCTCTACCCCCATGGGGGGGAAGGGGGGGGTGAGGGGGGTTGGGGTGTAACCCCCTCTCCTGCATCGGGGGGGGGGTTTGTGTCATATTGGGGTGCCTCCTCCCCCCCCTGCTTCTAGTGTGTTTGTATGGGTTTTCTAAACAATAAAGGTCTTGTTGTGCTGGGTCCAAGCTTTGGTTTGATGGGGGGGGGAGGAGGGAGGGGGGGGCAATTGGGGGGTGACCCCCCTGGATTGTTTGGGGGTTTCTAATAGAGAGATGGGGGTGCTTGGGGGGGGTCCAGAGGGAAAAGGAACACCTTGAGGGTAAGTTGGGGGGGGTGTAAACCCCTTGAGATGGGGTGAAACTCTCCGTGGGGGGAGTGGGGGCGATGTGGGGGTATCAGCCGCCCCCCAGGAGCTGTTTGTGGGGTCAGTCCTCCAGAGCAGAGGAGTTGGTCCTCCAGGCCGCCTAGAGAGGCCCGCGTCCTCCAGAGCAGACAAGCTGAAGGTGCGGGAGGGGGTTCAAGAGCACTTCCGGGTCAGGGGCAGCAGCTGCCGGTGACCGCCGCCGCCGCCATGGCGGAGGCCGTCGTTGCCCCCCCTCGCCGCCGCCACCGGCCCCGTGCTTCCCCCAACCCGCTCTTCACCCGCTGGCTCCGGGAGTGGCGGGATGAGGCCACGGGGACGCGGGCAAAAGGCGTCTACGAGCGGGTGGGTGTGCGGGGGCACGGGAAGGGAACGGGAACGGGGGGGGGGGGGGGGGGTGCGGGGCCTCCGGTGCTCCCGGTGCTCCCGGTCCCAGCCGCGTGTCCCCGCAGGCGCTGCGCTCCCTCGCCCGGTACCCGCTGCGGCTCCGCTCCGGGCGGGCGGCCGCCATCTTGAAGAACTTTGGCCCCGCCCTCTGCCGCCGGCTCGATCTGCGCCTGCGCCAGCACCGCGCAGGTGGGCGGAGCCTTAAGGGGGTGTGGGCGGAGCCTTAACGGGTGTGGGCGGAGATAGCGTGAATAGGTGCTGAT